GATCGGAAGTGTCGGACACCACCTCCATTGCCCTGGAGAAGATGTCCAAGGAGAAGTCGCAGTCTGGCGCTTGTGCTTGGATCCCCTTTTTTTTTTTGGGGGGGGGGGGACATGTTTTTTATATATATTTTTTGGATCCCGTTTTCTTTTTGGGGGGATTTTTTGGAGGGTGAGGGACCCTTTCAGAGATTGATGGATCAGCTTTTTTTGGATTGTTTGGAGGGTGAGGGACGCTTTCAGAGATTGATGGATCCCTTTTTTTGGATTTTTTTGGAGGGTGAGGAACCCTTTCAGTGATTGATGGATCCCTTTTTTTGGATGGGCTTGAAAGGGAAACAGAGGGAAGTGGACAGGTAGGACCTTTAGTTTGGATGGCGAGGGCAATCACAAGCAACTCCAAACAATTTGGTGCCCATTGTGTGTCTTTGAGACGACCGCAGACGTGTGTGGTTGGTTGGTTTGCTTTTGCTTCCCTCGAGCCATCCATAAGGGAACGCCCGAAATTTTCATGGCACACGTCTATTATGAGAAGCTGCCATCTGTTGTTAGGTTTGAGTGTGGGGACATGGGTGGGCCATCCAAATTTCCGACAACAGTGGGGGGGCCATAGCCGGGGATGTGTAGGTTATGTACGAGACCTGGGGGCCCACTCGAATTTCCCATGTCCTCTTGGGAATAAGTCATTGTGTCCGGGGCTGATGTGTATGTGTGTGTATGTGTGTGCTCGCTTGCTATCATAGAAGTGCACAGCAGGGTTTTGGAAGACAACTGTAGCACCCTCTTATCAGGCCCCTTGCCAACTTTCAAGGGTAAACATGCATATGTGTGAATGTGCATACGTGTAGCTGTTTTTAGATTTAGCACGGGTACATGTGCATATGTGCACGTGTCCATGTGTAAAGGTGAATATCGATGGATGTGGCTCTGCAGTTCGTAGGTGTGACATACGGGTGGTATACGTCAAAAACACGTGGTATATGTGTAGTATATGCGTACAACATGTGTAGTATATGTTTAGCACTTCTGTATTTGTGTATTTGAGTACTGTGCATTCGTGGATATGTATGTGTCTGCATGTATATGTCCGTGGTAACTGTGTACATGCGCAATAGTGTGCACGTTGGCATCTAATAATGTGTATATGCTTCCATGGGTACACGCGTAAATAATTACATGCCTATAACACGCACCTGTTCCGCGGCCGCGAAACCTGCTCTGTGCCAAGATATGTGCGAGGGTCAAAAGACCTGTTTACTTTCACTAGGTATGGTCGTCAACCCGGGATTTTGGATCCTCAGATGAGGCTTGACCATGGCACTTTCCAATGACAGGAAGTCTGTGACCAACGCTCCGAAACGGCCCTTCGTCGCGACTTGGCGACGGAAAATGATGGGTGTGCGTTTTTTGGAGGGTCCAATTTCTGCGAGAAAGACGAGGCACCGTGCTGTTTGCTCCAAACCCGAGCCATTTGCGAGGAGATTACCTCCTCCTTGAAGTCGGTGGTCCTCATCTCCGCTGCCATCGAGTCTCAGGCGCAGAGAAAGTGGCGGCGAGCCTCCCTCAAGTGCCGTGCTTATGCGTCGCTGGAACGAAGAAAAGGGAGGAGTAAGGCCCACAAAACAACGGCTTCCAAAGATGAAGTATTTTGGATTCCTGGGAATCAGCGCTTACCTTTTGTCCAACTGGACCAAGCGATCGGGCTTTTCTGTGGACCCCGCAGCTTGGGCCTTCGCCAATCCCACGCTGTGGGGTCTTACGGTTTCGGGACTCGGTTTCGAGTTGGGGTCCTTGACCAAGGATGGCTCGTTCTTTATGAAGGTAGGACCCCACCAAATGGCATGCAGTCCGGTGTTCCTTTTGGCGTCCCCTTTAAAACCACCCGAAAAAGAGAACAGAAAAAAGGAGAAAAAAGAAGCAAACCGGGGGAAACCGTGAAAGGACTAGACACTCGCATTGCGTGTAACTTCTGGGCTCCTTAGATTGCCTGAGGCTCGATGCGGAAACCGGATCCCGCGGGAATCCCGATCCCCGCTCGGCTGCGCAGCACTAGTTTCTCACTTCAGGGCCCTTTGAAATGATGCAATTTGGCCATGAGCATGAAGTCTAGGGTTCAACCCCCATGAAAAGAATGGTTGACCCAATCCTAGATGACACATCTTGAGGTAACCAGCGATCATATGAACCCGACCATTGCTTTCAGGGTGGCTTGCACTTCAGGGTAAAGCGTTTTCCACCAGACCAAAGGGACATCTTCAGGACAATGTAAAACCTCACTTCCGGGGTCCGGTGATTTTTTTGTTTTTTGGTTTCTGTCTTAATCATTGCGTCTAGGCGGAGTTTTGTTCAGTTTCGGTGGGGTGCTGTTCAAAGGGCGCATATCAACAACGGACACAACCCTTGACAGTCTATGTTTAGTTTGATGAGGAGCTGGATTTCCCACACAAAGCGGGGGGGAATTTTGCCATGTCCTCGCGAACTTATGCCCTTGTTCCCCTGACTCCCTTGTTCTCATCTTTGGCAATGCCTCGAATGTGTCAATGACAAGGCCTCGTTTACCCCTTCCTTTGGTAGCCCCCCCGCCCCGCCTATTTTTTTGGTACAGGCCGCTGTGGGAGTGCACTTTGGTGTACATTTCAATCTGTGTGAAGTCTTGGAATCTAACTACCTAGGTCCCCGGTAGTGCTCTTTTTTTTTCTTTTTGGGGGAGGGTTCCCCTACTACAATAGACTACAGAAAAAAAGGGTACCCTTATTCTAGCCTCTCTACTGGATAACCTGGCTACTCATCATGTAACTTTCCGTAGACTTACAGATTCTAGCTACATCTTTTCATCAAAGCCGATTTGGAGTCACCCCCTGTGCTGACATTCTTGTGCTGACATTCTCAATGTATAGGCCCCTCAGGTCTTGTGAAGGGGTCATAGGGGCCAGGTTCTGCTCCCCATAGCCCCAGGAATGGGGAGCTTTCACCCCGCCGAGTCTTGCAAGGCGGCAGAGGGCCGGGCAGAGGGCCGCAGTCGACCCTCGCTTCTGGGGCCGGGAGCCCGGTTCTTCTTGGGCTTCAGATGGATATTGATACGATATGGCAGTGGCTCAAAATTAAAGAGCCAGGGTTACGCAGGTCTTGGTCCATGTTTTCACTTACCAGGGTTCCATTTACCGGCTTTTTGAGCCACACCCATATTTTGTTAATGTTGAAACGCATGTGGAAACATGAACTGTGTTTGAAATGCTTGACCATAATGGCATGTGCCATTTTGGCTCAAGCTTTGCCCTGGGTTCCTAGAACCCAATTTGTGTGAAAAAAATTGAGTTTGGACACTTTCGAACTAACCCCGATCAAGCAATGGCTTCCTCGGCAACCTCGGCCACCTCCTTTGAGCTGATTGAGGACCAGACGCTCACCGTGGAGGAGGTTGAAATGGCCAGCCAGGAGGCCCAGGAAATTCGCACACGCGAGGCGGCAGTGGCGGCCGGCCTGGTTTTGGACGAGCCCGAGGCCCCCCCGTCGGCTTCGGCTACCGACGTGATGAAGGACCTCTCCAGTGCACTGGAGCGTCTCCGTGTGGCGTTTGCCACACCGACTTCCGGCTTGGGTGCCCCTGGCCCCGCCGAGGAGGAGGACAAGGACATGGAAGATGCGGACGTCACGGAGCGGGCCACTCCACCGGAGGAGGCACAGACACCACCCACGAAGAGGCTGAGGGGTTTCGTGGCGGCTTCCCAGAAGACCACGGCTCATGTGAACAAACCGGTCTCCTTGGTGCCGGTTGAGGGCCGACCCGGTTACTTCAAGCTGGTGGACCTCCCAGACCTCTTCCCGGTCCTTCCGGCATCGGCGGCCACTTTGCTGAGGGACGTCACGGTGGAGGAGGCGGTCTCCCTGTTCCACAAGTTTGTCGGGAAGAATCTCACGGAGGACCTGGTGATTCGTATCCTGGAGGCCTATGTCCCGATGAAGATCCAGATCCGGCAGGAGGAGGTCTGGGCCTCGCAGTTCCAGAGGAACAAGGCGTGCGTTGGCACCCAGCGTATGCACAGGCTCGATGCAGGCTATTCCGATTACAAGTTCATGTGCAAGGCATGCGGCACGGGGTGGCCAGAGGCAGCCAAGCAGTGCTGGGTCTGCCCAGGCAAGGAGTTCGTCCCCTTCCAGGCACCCTCGGCCACCTATGAGGCGGACGGCATCACCTACAACCTGCTCATCAAGCCGACCTGGATCCAACAGCGGGAAGGGGGAAGCCTGGGTGCCGCTGGCCCCGGTGGTACCCGGGCACAGGCAGACCGCAACCTGGTGGACGGCACGGTCCTGGGGAGAGCTCCTCCGAAAACGGACACGGCAGAGGAGATCACCATGGCAGACGTGGTCCCGCTCAACAGGCGGGTGGACATCCGGCAGGAGATCCTGTCCATGGAGGCGGACGACGAGGCGTTGAAGGTCCGGGAATGCCAGGAGATCAAGGTCAAAGTGCAGCGGTCCCTGAAGGAGGCGGAGGCTCAGAGCTTCCAGCTCTACCACCCTCAGGTGGACCAGGCGATCCGGAAGAAGGAGGAGCTGCATAAGGCCTTGAGGGAGCATCGGGAACCGACCCCGGAGGAGTCCTCGGCCAGGCGGCGGCACAAGGAGTTGGTCACGGAGGAGATGCTGGACAACGAGCCCGTGCCCTCAGGAAGGTCAACCTGGAGCGATTCAAGGCCAAGCTGCGAGACCAGTACCTGGAGGGGAAGGGCGTGGACGCCAGCCAGGCACTGGCTGAAGCGATGGGCTCCATTCAGGAGGCTCAGGCGGCGAACCCAGGACACCAACGGCAAGGATGCTCAACCACACTCTCAAGCCCTTGGAAGTGTTGGCGTGGCCGGATGATCTCAGGCAGGCCCTGGAGAGGGGGCTATTCTGCCCCCTGGAGCTGGATGACCCCGACAACATCCCCCAGATGAAAAAAAACATCAAGGAGAAGTATGTCCCCTACATCAGGAGGCTCAGAGAGTCGCAGAACCCATGGCACCAGGAGGCGCTGCTGGAGGAGATGCCCGATCTGGTGGCACCGGCCCCCCCTACGGGTGCCACTGGCCGTGGGGGAAAAATAGTAAAAGGAGAATTCAAAGAATTATTCTTTCTACTATTTTTTTTCCAACAGCAACACAACAAACAGAAAACAAAATCCAGAACAACAAGCAAACAAAATAAATAATCACAACCAGCAACAAAAATATTTAATCACAGCATACACCATTAAATAATTCAAACAAGCATACCAACAAAACAGCAACACTCTAAATCATCAAAGAACCCAAACTCAAAAACACACATCAACAAAAAACAAAGCAACATACCAACAAAAATATCACAAGAGTATCAAACAAAATAAAAACAAACAGCCAAAGCACGAAAAAATCAAAAGAGCATACCAAGTCTAAACAACGCACCTTGAAAGAGATAAGCAAATTAGGAAAATATAATAATTCAATCTTTACAAACGATAAATATATTACAATTATAACATATAATAGTTTACATGTGATAATTATAATATGATTAAACCTGTTTTTAGTGTTTCCAGTCGCCTATGTTGTTCCAAGAACTGCTCAAAATGTTTCTGATATTATACCAGATTAAGTTAACGTCATAATCTTTCATTGGTGCTCTTTGTTGTATTAAATAACGCAACAACACTGATACCAAAGTATAATAATTACAATGCATTGTTGTCATTCCTCCTCTTTCATTAATACTATTACCATTACGTTTAACGAGTTCTTCTTTCATTATGTTTACGTAAATCTCTTTTATCCATTGATGATTTTGTTCTCCATACTCAGCGAACATATCTGGATATATATCTTTCATTGTTTTATCGTTTTTAATTATTTCAATGACTTGTTTATACGATGGATAGGGATTATCCTTAATGAAACTCAATATTATCTTTCTATCCTGTTCCAGCTTTTTTCTGTCACTCCTAGCATTGGCATTTTCCTCTTATTATATTAAGTATTTATTCCTTTAAGTCATTTTACATTATAATTATAACATATAAGGGTATAAATGTTATAATCATAGTATGGTTTATGGACTAATCAAAAAATAACAGATATCTTAAGAATGTGAGCCCACCGTAAATCCAAAAAACAAGCTATGTTAATCCAAAAAACAAGCTATGTTAATCCAAAAGACAAGCTATGTTAATCCAAAAAACAAGCTATGTTAATCCAAGAAACAAGCTATGTTAATCCAAACAACAAGCTATGTTAATCCAAAAAACAAGCTATGTTAATCCCAAAAACAAGCTATGTTAATCCAAAAAACAAGCTATGTTAATCCTTAATCCGTCAAACTCACCAAGATTTCACAAATTAATTCGCTAGGTATTTTGTATAGGTCTTCCTGCTTATGTATTGTTGGATTGTCTCCCCATTGTTCCTTGTTTCCACTTGGCAAACGTTGCGCAGTTTCAATATGTTTATTATTCCTGATGTTGCCACAATCCTTTTTACATAATTCTCTAGGTTTCCAAGTTGTAATGTTATTCCATAGCCTAGTCCTCTTTCTACAATTAAGTCCATATTTACAATAATCAACATCTTTAAAATCAAACTCATCCATAAACTCCTGATGTTTTAATAATCCAGTTTGTGGATTTTCGATTACAAAATATTTAGGATTGAAATATTTGATAATCTCAATAGTTTTTAAGACAATACTATTTGCATATTCGATATTCTTAATTCCCCTAGTTTTTGCTATGCTGTATTCAGTGCATGGGGGACTACTCCAAATAAAATCAAAATGGTTTCTGTCAAACTGTTTGTAATCCCACTCCAAAATATCAGTGTTGATATCAGCATTTTTCAAGTCTAATGATATTACATTAAATCCAAGCGGCTTTGCTATGGTTCCGACGCTTTTTGTTCCGCTAAATAATTCTAATAAATTCATTTATTAGAATTATTTAGATTATTAATTATTCAAATAATACATATACTCCATCATCATTTTTTGAAATTTTATAATAGTCTAATGTTTGTTGCTTTGGTTGCTTGATTTTTCCTGTATTCAACATATCACAATATTTCTTTTGCTTTGTAGGATAATCACCCGTTGGTCTTCCTATAGATTTTGCTTGAAATATCTTTTCGATTTTTTCCTTCTCCTGCTGTTCGCTTTCAACTGGTTTCATTTTGTCATCAATGGATTTAATCATATCATTTAAGGTTTTAATATTTTTACCAATTAATGTTATCTTCTTCATTAAATCATTAATAGTATAATTCTCATTTTCAGACATTACTATATATTTATTTAGATAATTATTTATTTAATTATACAATTTACCTGAATAATTTAATGCTATATATGTAAATAAATTATATTCTAAGAGTCTTTCACCAATTTTATTTTTCAATTTTATTAAACCTTCATCGTTACCTGTAATTTCAAAAAACTTCAACATTTTATCAAATTTATCCGGTTTAGTTATACCTTTCATAAAATATTTATTATTAAATTTAGCATCTAACCAATAAAAATATTCTATACTCAATTGTCTAGCAAAGTTTTTATCACCATCGAATATATCATTAATTTCTTCATCATCAAACGTTATAATTCTATGGTCTTGTCCATTCATAGTTGGCATTATGATTATATAAATAATTGGATATTTATTTAAATATTTATTTATTTATATTTATAAAGTGCAATTATGTTAAATCTACTCTTTAAATACTAATTTTTCATGATTTGTTTAATAGTTTCCTGAGTTTCCTTATCACCATTTCCCGAGAGTGATGCATCCTTACCCCATTTAAAAGTTATACTATGGACATCAGTTTCTAAGTTGATACTGTCTTTAGTTTTATCAATATTCATTTTCTTATCATTTTTACTTATTTTGAAACTTGTTGGAACACATGAACATTTACAACTTTTATTATTTTTTATTTGTATTTCATTCTTAAGTTCTAACATTCTTTTACATGTAGGACAAACAACCTCAATAACTGATGTTTCTTTAACAATTTCTTCATCAGTTGATGAAACACTTAAACCTGTCTTATTCTTTTTGTTTTTCTTTTTTCCCATTTATATTAATATTTATATTTTTAATATATTGTATCAAAAATTTAATTAATTCTAAAATAAAATAACATATTTTTTACATCTATTATCAGTTATTAGTACTTGTTCTATATTTTCTACTTCATCTATTATATTAATATAATCTGAATAACTCCTTTTCATATTAAATAATAAGATAAATTATTTTTAATTTCTGTCTTTCTTTTCTTGTAAAGTTTTTTCATTATATCGTCTTGATCCCATCTATATTCTACAAATCTCTGATGATGCATCGATTTTAGATGTTTAAATAAATATTTGTCATCATAAGTTTTACCACAACTGCAATGGATAATAGTCATATAAATAATAAGATAAAATAATTATTTAGATTATTTAATCTTATTATTTTCATGCATGATAGAATATTCGAGGGCTCAGCACTTGGGGTTTTCATTGCACGCGAGAGAGATACAAACTAATTAGCTTCAATGCTTACTGATTGAAGCAATGGAAACCTGTTCCATTATGTTATTCACCGCCACTCATAACATAATGATGTTCCATTAATATTAAATAGAATATTTATTTAAATTATTTTCTTTAGCTTTAGTAAGTTTTAGTGCAGTTAGCATATCAACATCTAGAATATTATTATTAATAACTTCTTGTACACTATTTATCATTTCATCTGTATATATATTAGAATAATCTTTCATAAAATTTACTAACTTTCTAAAATTAAAATCTAGGTTATTGTCATTTTCAATTGCGGACTTGGATACTACGATATTATGATTTTTAATTGCAGATAAAAAGTATAACATCGTATCATAATATATTTGTTCAGTATCTGGAACTAAGATATCACCAAATTTATATATCCTCCGAATACTAGCCACTTCACTTAAATTAATAGATTCTATAGCCATTATGATATAATTATATTATATATTTTTTTATTTATAAGTATTTATAATATTATTTTTAGTATGCCTGATGTAAAACCAATTGATGAAATCAAATATGACTTTAAGCAAAGTAAGCATGAGGTCGTCCCTAAATTGCCAATGAGAGCTATGATTGTCGGTCCATCTGGAAGTGGAAAATCAACTTTATCAATGATACTTGATATTTATAGAGGAGCATTTGAAAGAATTTTTATCTGGTCTCCATCAGTAAATTTGGATAGTATTTGGTTGCCAGTGAAGAAATACATTAAAGAAGGTTTGAAAGTAGATAATGATAAAGAACCGTGTTGGTGGGATGATTTCAATGTTGAAGATTTAGAAAGAGTTATAGAAACTCAAAATAAAATAATTGAATACCAGAAAAAACAAGGAACGAAGAAATTATTTAATATTTTGGTAATTTTGGATGATGTATCTGATAATCCAGCAATAACAAGAAATAACAAATTGTTAAATTCTTTATTCTGTAGGGGATGTCATAGTGGAATATCAACACTTGTAAATCTTCAAAAATCATCAACCGTACCACCAATTATTAGGGTAAATATAAGTCATTTGTTTGATTATAAAGTTAGAAATTTTAAAGAAATAGAAATATTGCAAGATGAATTATCAGCAATTGTTAGAAGCGATAATTTACATGAAAGCAAGAAACTAATTTATAAAATATATGAGACTGCCACTGATGAACCGCATAGTTTTTTATATATTAACCTTTTAGAAAAGAATCCAGATAAAATGTTTATGAAAAATTTTTCTCAATATTTGAAAATTACTAATTAAATAATTAAATAATTAAATATATATTAATATTATATGATATTTTATGATTTACCATTAGAAATTAAAGACATAGTATTATCTTATAATTTAGGTGATGTTAGATTATTAAAAATAAAAAATAGTAATATTATTAAAAATTATATTAATAAATATAAACCAGTTTATAAATCTTACAAATTAAATAACCTAGATTGTTTTGAAATTGATAATATCAATATTAATAATGGGATATCATATATTTTTAATTTAAGTGAGTTACATAAATTACATAAAAAATATAAACCATTAAAATTATTTATTGAATATGATATATTTGTTACATTTAGCTCGTTTACTCGTTGGTTTAATGTGTGTAATCGAACTTTAATATCAATTAATTTATTTGATATTTATTATTTTCTTAATAAAGACCTTCATAAAGTTAAATTAGTGTATGCGAGTGATATGGCTAATTTTATTTCATTACAAGTGAAAAAAATAACTATTAAAGTCATCAATGAAGATGACCAAATTACTATTGATGACTTTTATTTTTATCTTTAAAATTAATAGCATTAAGATTCTGACTTAATGTCATTAATTCAGAACAAACTATAACTACACAAATTTAACGCTGGTAATTTATATATTAATTTATCAGATTTTTCTTTTTCAATTTTACACATTCGTTCACTCATTTGTTTAATTGCTTTTAACTGTAATTTATCAATATTACATAAATCTAATTGTTCTATATCAATATCATTAATTTTATCAATAGATGAAGTTTTAACATTACTGTTCGAATTACCCATTATATATTATTATTTTAGATTATAATATAATACAATAATAAATATTCAAAGGTATACAATACAATAATAAATATTCAAAGGAATTAGAATAGGCCAACAAAACAACTGCATAAAAGGAGTACATATTTTATCACACTTCATCGCTCGTCTGCGGAATTTCTCTTCTTTTCTTTGTTTTTTTAATTCTTTAATATATTCATCAAATTTAGAATGACTAAAATTACATTCTTTATTACTACATTTATCTAATGTAAATTCATCTTTATTTAACTTAGTAATTTTACAACCACAATAACAAGTTTTTTCTCTCATACTATCATTCTTAAATAATACTTCTATTTTAACTTTTCTGTCAATGTCCATATATATAGATATATTAATTATTTATTTATTTATTTATATATTTATATATTTATATATTTAAATTATTTATTTAGGTTTTTCTTTTTTCAATTCTTCAATTTATTTTTCAAGTTTATCTACTTTATCATTTAATTCTAACACTGCTTTATGAACTAGCACGGTAAAACTAAATAATTCAATCCTAAATACTCTCTGTCTTTACTAACAACATTTTCAAATTCTTTCGGGATTGCTTTTAATACTTCATCTGCTATATATCCTATATGAGTTTTACTGCCATCATTTCTATCGTGTCTTTTAAACTTCTTCGGTTTAAATTTCTTAATAACATTCATACAATTAGATTTGATATTGTCTATATCATATTTCAATCTTGAATCAGATGAATCCACAAACGTTCCGTTGATGGTTACTGTTGCTGCTGTTAAATCTATATTAGTTCCTGTTGATGGTTCAATTAAATTACATAACATTTTTTTCGTTCCTGCAACTGTTACATTTTCATTAAAAGTCGATGGAGCATTATTGGTAAAACTTTCAGTATTTACTGTAGTTCCAAATGTCTTATCAATAGATAATAAAACTGAAGGTGTACTTGAAGCATCTGAAACTCTAAATGCAGTGTTTGATGTTCTAAATATTACATCAATTGTAGATAAATTAGTTCCATCATAATAAGTTGATATTTCCGATGTTCCCATTTTAATATCAGTTCCAGTAGTCATTGAAATATTATTTAAAAATGAAACCGTTGTTAAATCGAATGATTGGATGGTATTAGTTGCTAAATATGCATTTTGAACT